GTCTGTCAAAAGCCACAAAGAAGGAAGACAATCAGAGCCTACACCACTCCCCTCCCCCCCCACCACCCCTAAAAAGAAGAAAAAAAAAGGTTTCTTGGGCGCGCGCGCGGTCGCCCAAGCGATGACCTTGGAAGGGTATGCGATTGTAGCACGTTTGTCCCCCGGTTGTGCCCCTGTCTCAAATGCCACGGTCCGTTTCTCCCAAGTGCCCGTCTTATCTTCCCGAGTATCAACTCCGCAGTGATTCTGAATCATTCCGATGCTTTCCAACGTTGCAAAACTGTTAGACGAATATTTGCACAGAAGTATACACTGTTCGCAGAACTATCTACGGCGCTAAAATTCAAAAGCGCCGTGTTGGATTCGGGAACTCGTGAAGGTTTAGCTCATTGTTGGAACATTCTTATTCGCTCGATGAACTCCACAAAACGTGTAAATATTAGAATGAACTTTCCAGAGAACGATAGTTGTTGTCGGGGTTCCAGGCGACCGGACAGGTCGCAATTATTGGCTGATTAAAAATTTTATTTCATAATCACAATCGTATCATCAAGGGCACGCCATTTCCTCATCACTTCTACTACGAAAAGAGTTGCTGTATTTGTAGCACACACAGACGGAAACGGTTGAGACTGTGCCCAAATAATATCTTCTTTTGGCAGGTACTGCGCAGCGATTACACACAATACCTCTAACATAAACATTCTGCTCCACATGTCTGTTCACAAGATGCAATACATCGTTCTCCCAACTTTGTTGAAATGGCCATGAAAGCGCGTAACCGTCACTTTTTTGAAGTTCTACTTAGAAGTGAAGTGTTTACCGTAAAAAGTCGTTAATTATTTATTTTTTTCCGTTCCACTACAAAGCTCGATTCCCTTAAATTTTTGTTTTTATATCGTCTCTACAGCGCTTTTACGTCGTTACTTTCATGCATCACATAATGTGCGAAAAAAAAAAAAACGGTAGGATCGATGCTGCATAGCCTTTTTTTTTTGTGGACATCAAGAAAAAAAAAAAGATAGTAGTTGTCTTCACTTCGCACTGCATGTTTTAGCACGGAAGTTCCTATTTGGTTTGATGTCTTTACTTTCTTAAAAATTGTATACAGTAATTTAAATTACCGAATTACAAAAACGTCGAAATTGTATAATTGCTTTTCGTTGGGACGCCATGACGACAGCGACACTCGTGTTCCCTCGTGGCTTTCGCCAGCCTTTCTACGATGAATTGCCAGGATCGCGAGATGCAAAAGCGTGACACTCCGTCTTCTGTGACGTTATTTGTTGCACTTCGGAACCACTTTTGATGTATGGCCAGCATAAGACGCTAACCACGCCAGTCGGAGACGCGCTGCAGGTGCCATAGTACTGCTCCTAAAAGTAGCTGTCACGTGCTTTGCTCCGCGACCGTGATTCCCTCACAGCAGCCCTGACTGAGGGTTGCCAAATTACGGTGAAACGGAGTATAGACAAAACAAACCGGAAACGAGCTGCCAGCATACGATAGTCAAACTCCAACAAAAAGAATTAGTTTCTTCCCAAGCTGGACGACATTTACCGGGCATCTTTAGAGCTGCGAAGCTCAAAATCACGCGTACTCATAAGATTTTTTTTTTCTCGCGTGTTTGGGATTTTTATGATGTCCTGCAAGCAAGAAAAAAATATATATGGTGAAGTCACTCCGAGGGGGTACCGATAACTGCGAGCCACGAACATGAAGGATTCGCTAGCATCCGTCAGGAGTGTGAACGGTAAATCGTCACGCAAACATATTCTCACAAGCTGCAAATATTTATTTGGCTTAGCAAGTAGAATACTAGTATACTAACGACATGTGATTATTGTACACAAGATACCATTTCTCGGTTCTTCAAAACCATTTCCCTAGTCTGAACGGTCGCGCTACGGGCCGCGGCTAGTGGAGCTGCGTTGTGTCGTCTGCTACTGTACCGCCAACAGGAGAGCGATAGCTCTGTGTGCTCCACAGATGCGTGTTGCGGTATAACTCTGTACGTCTGTCCTAGAGGAAGACAAAAAGATAGGCTCTGTGACCCCCTCCTAAGCTAACAAAAACAAACAGAAGTATACTCGTTTGGACTGAAAGGTTTACAAAATAGTGACCAGACATTGGAAAAGCATATGTCACAGAACTTGGTTTATGAAATGGCATCATTGTTTCGAGCAAGAAATCACCTGCTCACCACTGGGACGATGAAATCGTCACTATTTATTGCGTCAGGTATATTTGCGCTCATGAAGAAAAATCTGAACACATCCTTCTCCCAAAGTCCTATGTCGAATAATAAACACTTTTTTAAACATCTATGCACAAATAACTCATTTTTTTCTACACTTGTATATACACGTTAATTAAACGACGTCAAACCGCATTTTTGATTAGATCTTGATGTCTACACCAACTACATTCATATTTTTTAGGGCTTTATTGAACGATAACTTCAACTATAGTTAATGGAACACGATGGCTCGATCTCAACAAAAACCTCAACGTGCGAAGCTTCCACAGACGGTCGCTTGCGAGTATTCTCAATGTGAGACTTCAGAAGCTTTCGCTTGCCATATGGAGCTTGCTTTCGACTACAGCACTGCACGGGCCCGGAAAGCGCGGAGCGCGCTGCTGTAGGGAGAGGTTGACTTACAAGATGACGTGTTACGTGGTCACGTAAGATGGCGTCATTTCGCGCAGCGTGATCACGTAAGATGACGTCATTTCGTGTAACGAGATCATGTAAGATGACGTGTTTGTGTCACGTGATCACGTAAGATGACGTCAGTTCGTATGAACTGACGTCATCTTACGACAACGCCAACAACATTAGTGCCGTCCGGAACCATTGACCTTAGAAACGCGCCTCTTCGCTTGAAGAGCTGATATGCGTTGATTGTTATTTGTTTCTTTTGCCTACTACAGACCATTCAAAAACTCGCCTTCTGGGTGCCACCAACTTCGTCTACTGGGCTGTGAAGCGCGTTCGAGCGTGCGCAATACCTCTCTAGGCCGAAAGATTGTACACTGAGTATGCGTTCACAGCTCAATGACTTAGGCATTTTTCGTCAGGATAGATGCTCCCACGAGAAGAGCGTAATGGATATGTGATTAGAATTGGAAATTTGAAATGTTCTTGTCCAATCGCATTTTTCTTTGGTTATCAACGCTTTTTAGCATCATCACAAGACGTTCAACCCATAATACACTGGTGATTAAAAAATAAGCACCGAAAAACATGCACCGGTTTTCGCTCAAAAATAAACACCGGAAAAAACATACCGTTATCATTACCCATGTCACCTTTTTGGGTGATATGTGAATTTCCAGAAGAACAGCGAGTTATCACCCTCCCCTAGGAATACCCTGACTACAGAGCAGGCGACCCGTTTTTCCCCGCGTTAGATTGCGGTGACCACGAACCATACGGAGGTCACAGGACGTCCGTGAAAAATAAAAAGGAGGCAAACAACGATCTACTCTGTGCACGCTTCATCCCCGATTTCCACGACCCCAAGGCCGAAGGACGTTTGTGTGAAGGATAACGATAAAATAAAACTTTCCGTAAAAAAAAAAAAAAAAAAAAAAAGCCCGTTTTTAAAAGAAAAAAAAAAGTAGAAACAAGCACAACGCGTTGACGGACCGCGAGGTTGTGGAACACCTCGCGGTCCGCTTGCCACAGGACGGTTGTCTTCGACCCATAGCTCCAAGGTGAATTTGCCACTTGCGAAAACACGGAGACCTACCCAGCGAGAACCAGGAAAGCAAGACACGCACACTGACGCCTCGGCGTGCAGAATGAAACAGGATACGGGCGCGGAATACGGCCGCGGAAGAACACCTCGCACAGTGCCGATCCGGCCGATCTCCGAACGGACGATTTCGCATTTCGTGGACAGCGAGCGCCACCGCACGGGAGAGAGAGGTACCTTAAAAACGACGAAAACAAGCACCGGCACCTTGGTTCTTTATATTTGCTGTAGTTACGGAACAAATCGACTTACATGAATAATTTGAATATTATTCGATTCCGTAATAAATTTAGAAGACGTTAAGCGCAATATTTCTTATGTTTGAATTTAGATAATTTTGTAAATTCGCTCCGAACGCAAGAGTGCCGAATTAGCCGATTTTGACCATTTTCATGATTTTTTAAAGAATATAATTAAATTTATGATGAAACATTTGTTGCGCTTAGTGACTCGATAATGACTCACTGTCTTTAAAGCCGAAATTTTCAAGAAGATCCGCGCAGCCGTTATTATGTGAGAATTTTTTTAATTTGGTGAAAAACCTCATGTATTCTCTATGGGGCTCTGAGGTGGCCACGTATTACCTACATCGCAGGATCCATCCTGGCAGATGGTCGTACAAGTTTCGACAAAAAACATTATACAGGTCCGATTGTACACCAGGGAACACGGAATGCGTCCCGTACTAACCACATACCGTGTGTCGTTTGTGCTACACTTTTTTATTTCTCTTATATTTTTCTCGATTGTTTTCTTTTCTTACTTCATTTGCATTCAAAAAAAAGTATTTTAACCTCCCGGACTAGTTTTGCCAGTAGCTTGGTGGCGTATCCAACTGCCGCCGACCCGGGTTCGAGCCCCACTGGGCCCTTACATGATGCTCCCAGCGTGGCACTTGTTCGCCACGCTCATTACAACCATTCTCTCGTAGAAAACAAAACAGATTCTGCGTCAAACGTGAGAATCTCCGTCATCCTAGCATCCCAAATCGTGGATCCCCAAATCCCAGTAAGCCGTGAAACCGAGAGCGGCGCGGAGGAGAATGCCACTGCCAGCATCGCGATGCCGTGGGACAGAAATGGGCGAACCCCGAACAAAGAAGCACGGTGAACGCACTGGTCCGAGATGCGTTTCAGGCACCAGGGTACGCTGGGCCCATTTGTATCAGAAATAGATGCAAAGAGACCAAAGCAAACCAAGCGAGTCTGCCCAGATCCCAAGTGCAGAAGGGCCACTTGCCTGGGCAGAGCCTCTCGTCCTCTCCCTGGCTGCAGTCGTGGGTGCCGTCGCAGACCCACGAGTTCCAGATGCACTTCCCTGCAAGGAGAGCGCTTCAGGTCACCTCAAGAGACATCAGATGGACGCTCAAGCTAGTGTATCCACACTTCCGCTTTCAAATCCAAGCAGACAGCAACCAGTTTACTTTTGTGCTGCTCCCGCGCATTCCTACGGGAAAAGGCGCCTGCATTTAGTCTCTTCGCCGGAGAACAGCAGATGTCAACTTTTTCAATTGGATCGTACCAAACACAGTTGTATCCCGTAAATTCAAACTCTCTTAGTTCAAACTTCTGGATAATTCAGACTAAAATGCAAATGGACGTGTTAGTCTGATTTATTCGGAAGTTTGAATTAAGAGAGTTTGAATAAACGAGATTCGACTGTAGTATGTAACCTGATTAACATTATAAAAGTGTATTTTTCCTTAGTTCTAGTATTTTATCTGATCAGTGACCAATGTTTTACTTTACACTGTTTCAGGCCCAGACCTACGTTCCAGAGCGGAAGCATAGACGAGCGACAAATACCGACGTTACGACGACGCGCTGACATTGGTAATCTGCTAGATTTACGCGCGACGTATGAAAATGCAGCTTTACGTGTCTCGATCGCCACTCTATGAGCGGTGAAAGAAAACACCTAAACCAGTAGAGGTATGCCCACTATAAAAGGTCTTTATCTTTTTATTATTTCATATACTACCGGGTCGCTTTTGCTGGCTTTCCCCGTTTTCAAATTTGTTTTAATTGCTCTGGAACGTGAGCAGGAAAAATAAACAAATATTGCGCACAAATTAGCTGGCCTACCCTTTATTTGGATCGTCTGCATACCCAAGTAAACTGATACAGACGTTAAAGCGTATTTCTTGACGTCTCAATTTTTCAGACGCCCTTCGTCGGTTTGGCACGTAGATCTCCCTCATAGAACAGTGCCGACACCGCATTTGCGTAAACAGCGTCGAACATTATACAAAAACGCACATACAAAGTTATTCTAGCACTGCATTTACAGTAATAACAGAATTATGAAAAAAAAAAAAAAAAATAAATCGTAACTGGGCAATATTTTTGCCTACCGTAAAGTTTTGAGAGAACGCTCCCGAGATATCGCCCATCCCGTTTTTGTGGCTAAACATCTACCTCATAAAAATTCCGAAACATCACACACTCTTGATTCCTGTGAGACGTCGAGCGATGTCAGACGGGAATCGCATCGATTGCGCAATTTGATGTACCGGCACGTCTGACAAGCGAGTTCATAGCACGCTCAAAAACACGCATCAACAGCTTTTTTTGTCCGTTATCTGCGCGCACAATATCGGCTTCCGTACCACACGAGTTGGTCCTGAGTGTATACTGCATCGTGAAATATGATTCCGCTGCATCCGTGATATGCGGCATTGTAGTGAATTCCCGCGCATTTATAGCATTGTGAAAAAGGAATTTGCAGTGTTCGCGATCTAGAGTATCAGTTCTCGCGTCACGTGGTTTGTAGCGGGTGCCCCGGTCTTTATCATCAATTTTTTTTATAAAGTTTCGCCGTGGCATTTCCAAAAGATAGCCCACCCAATGTCTTTCACCATTTATCCGTTCGTTTTGGAAAGGGTGTTGTGACGTACCTAGTCACTGGTTGCCTCGGTCGTACTCACATGCAAGAAATCTCTTAAACACTTTATTCTTTCGCGTACCCGCGCGCAGCGGTATCGCTCCTGTCACTAAGCCTCGCGTTCCGCCCGACGACTCCGTCTTCCTCATCCTGCATCACCGCTCCCGCCCGCGGCCACTGCGCCATCTCTCGGGCTCGGCGCGAAACGGTAAAAGTGGTCGCCCATGCCATTCGAGAGGTGCAGCCCATGTTACGTGCATGCATGTGTGCACTTCCCCTAAAGCGCGGTTCAAACAGACTCTGAATACGGAACCCGGGAGCCGGAACCCGTACTGACGTAATCACTTCCAGCTCCCGTTTACGGGAGTGACGTCACGGTTTGATTTGAACGGCGCGCGGCGCGGGTCTCCGTATACGGGAACTGACGTCACGGCGGCTCCCCAGGCAACCAATCAGCGGCTGTCGTCAAGCCGGGTCGTCGCCCGGGCAGCCCGAGCGCGCGGCCAGGCGCGGCTGGCGCGGCGCGCTCCGTCTCTCGCTTTGTTTCTTGATGGCGTCGTCTCGGCAGGATCCCGACTACGAAGCTCGAATTGCCCCACTTATGAACCTTTGTGTAGTGAGGTGCGTCACAAATGCGAGAACTATCACCTGGCGTCGGCCGACTACTTTCGCGGCTGCGTGTGAGCAGTACCTACGGAGCGTGAAGAAAAAGAAGAAGCGAAAGACTGTCCGCGAGCTCCTGAAGCCTCGAAAAATGCTCGACAAGTATGCCACCATCGTGAGACTACAGTGTTGTGAGACAGATGTTCGAAGATCCCGACGGCCGGGAATTCTTTCAGTGCTTCCGAATGTCACCAGCCAGGTAGGGTGTGCTGCTTTTTATTTTGGATTATTATCATGTTATATATCAAGTGGCGTTCCACATGGGCCCGCACGTCGCTCGCAGGAACACTCACCTGGAGCGTGTGCTCCCGCAGTGAAAGCACGTTTGTTAAAGACCCTAGGCTAGCGGTCGTACAGTACTGCCTAAAAACTGGTCTACAGCGCGTACCAGTGTCGTTGACCTTTTTAACATCTTAAGTGTCGGATGTAGCTCGCACGCACAATGGTTGCAGCTAGGCACATAGCCAGGATTTTGTTTCGGGGGGGAGGAGATTTTGTCGGTCGCAGAGTGCCCGAGGCTAATAAAACATTGTGTATAAAAAAAAAAAAAAAAATGAACAAATGAATTGCTTTATTACAATTATAGTGAACGAGCATGCCCTCAAAGCTTGAAGCTTAGCACATTTGCTTATTAATAACATCCCACTGCCTTTTCGGTCTCTTTGCAGCCAGCAAGCCAACCACTGCCTGCCTCTACAAACGGCCTTTCTAAAGGCCACTCATATTTGCATTGAAGATGCCGTTTCATCGGGTTGCAACCACCTCCCGTGTCTCCGAAACCGTGTCAATAAATTATTAGAAGCAGTACCGAGTTCTTTCACTTGTCCTGGTCCTTGTGGTCACTACGATACCTGTCGTAGATCGAGGGGTACCGCTGAACTAGCTAACTAATCCATAGGCTTTCTCGGGTACGTCAAACGCAGCGGTACTCTTCTTTGCAGCTTGAGCTGCTTTCCTCGCGTCGGAGGCGGGCGAGAAGTTCATCGCCGGAGCTTTCCTTGCAAGCAAGCACGGAGCGACTGAGGCATTCGCATCGTGCATGCGGAACCACGTGAACGCTGGTGGCAAGAAGGGCAGAGGAGGGAAGCGCGCCGCACTGATTGGCCGCGGAGAAAATACGGAAACCTACGTCACGACCCGGGCAGGAGAAAGTTGAAAAAATTTCAACTCTTCAACCGGGAGCCATATTTACGTCACCACCCGTACGGAGGGAGCGCTGACGTCACTACGGGTTTCGGCGCCCGGGTTTGCAGTGCGGGTCTGTTTGAACCGGGCTTAACAGCATTCTTTCTGAAATTTACGGTATACCACTGAGAAACGTTTCCAGCCATTTATTCGCGACTCCAGCAAAACGGACGCCGCTAAGCGGGAAAACCGGGAACCAGCCGGTCCAGGTCGCTCCGCGCCCCTCCGCGTCTCTGGTGGCTTTCGCGGAGACGTGTTGTCGGCGCGGTGGCGAACAATGTAATTTGACGAAGGTCCGAATATTTCTTAAGTTTGTTTGAGTGATCATTAGTGTAGTGAAGCCTCAGTAGATTGTTTTCTTCTATTACGTGTTTGAAAGCCCGTTTACTCCACAGCACACGGTCGCGTGCTTTCGATTTCTTGGATGGGGAGGAATCACGGAAAAACTTTTTGATTTCTTGTCTGTCTTGAATCACATTCAAAGTGACGACTGCTTGGTAACTGATACTGGAGGGAACATCAATGTTGCAGTCAAGTGAATGGGAAGGTTCGATAGCTGCTTTTCTTGAGTTTGGTTGTGTTCGGTTAGCTTCAAGTTTGAGCAACCCACGCCGGTCGGTGCGTTGGCTATTCATCTTGGCTGCCTTTCACCGAAAAAGCCTCTGGACCACACTGAAGGAGTTGGGCTGATTTCGCAATTACTTGATTCAGGAAAACTTGCTCGCTGCAAATGATGAATGAGGGAAATTATCTGTTTTCAAAGGTGGGAGACAAGTCTCGCAACGTTAGATGCTGTCACGGCATTTTTGACCTATCGCGCCTCCAATATTTATATTACAAGGACGTCGAAGCCAGCAGCAATATACGTCTACATTGGTCAGGTTGACCGGCCACAAAAAAAATACTAATTTTCTCCGTTCAGGATTCGAAGCAAAGTTCAATGCGGGGAGGTTCTGCGCAGATCTTCAATGAAGGCTCTCTTCAGTTTGTCTCCGTGCTGCCGGCTATAGAACCATTTGGCTAAGTTTAAGTAATATGTCTCCGTCTGTCAAATATACTTTTATTCAGCTGCTCACCTAATAGCTAGTCAACTAAGCTCATATTTCAACCCGAAGGATGTACTAATATCGCTTTAGTGGGACCCCCATAGTACGTAATATAATACATAACCCGCTCGTCAAAATGACGTCTCGATTGCTACTGAAACCTGAATCGAAATACGAGTATCAGCTGCTTAGTGGGGCGCCGGCGGGTTAACACGGTCCTTGGCTCAAGAAGCGGTTGCTTAATTTTCGTAATTTTCCTGCAGCCTGTGTTGTTGGCCGAGCAGACGACTGGAGCTGTTTTGTAAACGCGGATACCCACAAAAGCTCGATTTCGCGGACAGATAAGTCGCATGGTCGAGGCATGCGAGTTAGCTGAAAAGTTACTCTCTGTGGAACAATTCTATTGTCATCTCCGCTTTCCTTAGATGATCAAAACTGATTAGGATATTACCGTCTCTCCGGAGCCCATAGTTTCGGTTTTGAGCGAAATCTTCGAAACGAAAGTTTGACACGAAAAGAACAAAAAAACACCGGCAAAACAAAACTATGCTTTGCAAGTTTATCTGCACCGGCTACACTTAACCGCCTCAGTTCAAATACCTACAAAATTGGGCATTAAACAAAAGAAAATCAGTTAAATTGAACGCGCCACCTGTTCAGGAGGCCCGGCCGAGCCGCCGCAACCTGGACTCAGCCGCCATGTTTGTTTGGTGGTGGCGCCCCCTATAGGTCGCTGGAGTCGCGAATTGCCTAAGAATTCTCCGGAACATCTGCTCTTCGAATCGAGAAAATGTAGCCCCCTCTGCCCATACAAATATATTACCGGAACCCAATTCCAAACTGGTTGCTGTCCGCTTCATTTTGAAACACCAATGTGAATTGCAGCCCCCGCATAGATCCTGTTAACTCTGTGCCAGGAATGGCGCAGGACAGAGAGCAAAGGGGCAGACCCGAGTCGCAGGTGAACCTCTCGGGGCCGCAGGAGGCAGGGGCGGCCGTGCTGACCGCCGTGGTTCCGGGGCTGGACGTGCCGGGACCTGCATGCAGGAGCGGAGACGTGTGTCCTGCAGAGGTGCTGCCGCCACACTCGAGGCTTCCTCCTCCTCGCTCCTGCCCGTGGCGTCGATCGACTTAGGCGACCGTCTACCCTCCCTTCTTCTGGGCAGAAGATCTTTTCCCCTACCCTATTGAACCATAGCAGTGGGCATGGGGCCCGGCCCCATGCCCACTGCTATGGTTCAAAGGAAATCTCTATGGGCTTCATCAGCTGCTGACCAGGGAGCAGAGGGTGCCCCCACTAGGTCACTTTTTATTCTCTAGTTTTTGGTATTTTTCTTTAATTTATTAACATTCATTTTTTTTTTAAGTTTACTTTATTATTCTATTTCCCATTTCATTTCTTACTTATTTGTTGATTTTGTTTATTTATTATATTTTTTCTTACTTATTTGTTTATTGTATTTTTATTTCTTATGTGTTTATTTTATTGTATTTTTATTTCTCACTTATATATTGGTTCTACTTATTTCTTTCTTTATTTTTAATTTATTGATATTTTTTTTTTCGTTTATTTATTTTGATTTAAAACATGCCACCGTCGCTGGCACTTCCTTATTCAAATAAAAACTTCCCAGGACACCTAGCATTTCATGCGAGTTGTGAATGAGAATGTGACTTGGCCGTGACGTGTCGCAGCTACCGCTCCGATCGTACTGTGAAATAATGCTGGACTGCTCTTTTTTTTCTCCTCTCTCATCTTATTTATATTAAACTTTCGCCGCTGCTTTAAGTTCTTGTACAGAGCACAAGCATAAGCTCATTCTTTTCCTATTATAGTTTACGAGAAAACCTCAACTTTACCACAAATGTTTGTGCCCAGATAGTTTGCAAAACTCCCATAAAAGAAATGGGCGCAAAGTTTGTCCGAATGTTCTACAAAGAGTAGAGACTGTAACAAAACCATTCTTATAATCTTACCGCCGAATTCAGAAACCTCACTCAAACTACACTCAAACTGAAGGGCCCCTCCACTTCCTCGGGGAAGGCGCGAGGGCCGGCGCTGGCCAATCGCGAGATCCGCCGTCGTGATTGGCCAGCGCCGGCCCTCGCGCCTTCCTCGAGAAAGTGGAGGGGCCCTTCAGTTTGAGTGTACTTTGAGTGAGGTTTCTGAATTCGGCGGTTAGCATATAATTCCCGAAAAAGTTGCACGAGTTTAAATTTTTTTAATGATAATTAGAAATTAAGTATTAAAGTCTTCGCAAATTACAAAATATTATAGTTAACATTTTGCAAAAGTCTCGTTGCAGTCTTTTATTTACAAGGTATTAAGAGAGAAGTTGGGATTGGAGACTAACTCTTAATGCGAAAGCATTAACTGTCACACGGAGCGGAGCCAACCGCATCTGTAACCGCGAAAAACGGCAGAGAAATACCCGTTCTCCCATTGGCTGAGCGAAACGGCACCTAAATGCCCATTGGTTGCGAAGCGTCATAGTTGCAAGGAACGCCCCCCACAGAAAAGCCCTCTCTCTCCTCCCTCTCGGGTCATGTGTCAGGCGTGGCCGGAGGGGGACCGGGAAGTCTCCCGTGTTCTACGTCCTGCGCTCAATCATGCCGCACTGCCCGCTGTCCTCCATACCGCGGAGGACGATGGGGCGCACTGCTTGTAGGAATGCGTAAGTAGTCTTAATGTCCTCCTGTGGTATTTCAGAAGAGATGCAGGGCGAAAAAGCGAGACTTTTTCGAAAATTTCAAATTTTTGGTTTGTGCTTTTCCCTCAGTGTTCTCCTCACCGCCATTCAAGATGGCCGCTGCTCGAACTTGACAAGCCCACCAACGCCTCAGCTGACCGATCTTTCCGACGCAAAAATAACACGCGACACAGGCCGGGCGAAATTATACGTACCACGGTGCCCATGTCGCAAATAATGAAGACGTCCCATTCCATCACATACTTTTCGGCCGCCTCGAAGCGGCGGGGCACGGACAGCGATTGCCAGCGGTGGAGTTCAGATTTCTGGTACGACTTTAATAAACACAGAGGTAACAAACCATCACTTGCACGGTCGTTGTCTAATCTCTTCTTGCTTTATTGCAAGGGAAAACGCCGGCGGAATGCAGTGTAAAAAGGCAAACAATCATTGGCTGCAGAATGAACGGGCCTAACCTTGCGTCTGCCTCCGGCTTTTCTGTCGTTCTTTTTCTCGTTCTTCGTCTCACAATCACAGATGTCAGCGCTTACAATTTACCGCGCTTCACAGTCCCGGCTTTGTACCCCTGATCTATACGAGGTAGAAGCGTTCCAGCCGTAACAATGCCACGCAAGCAACCGACGCACCCGAACAGATCCAACTCGATGCACCCGAACAGATCTACCTCGACGACCCGACCGTGGCCCAACCGGCCCGCCGACCTCACCAACCTCGCTGCGCATGGACACTGCGGATTTAGAACAAAATGACGTAGGGCGCTCTGTCAACTTCCGGAAAAATCTGTGAAGTCCTGCAGAGCAAGTTCGGCTGGGTTTGAGGCGCTCCGTGGAGCGGGTGCTGCCTGAGATCTACGAGGGAAAGATGACCAGCTCGAGCCAGATTTGTGAGCAAAATATGCGAGCTCCAAATGGAGTGCTTTTGGAACGCTCGAGATCTGCGAGCGGAATTCACCATTAATGGAAAGTGTGTCTAACTGCCTCGGGGTGGCTCAAGAAATCGCAAATTTATGCGAATGTTCGCTATCTTTGAGTGCCTATCTCTCAGGACGGCGGCGCTGCCCGCCATTGCGATCGCTTGTTGCGATAGTCAAGGCCTTATTCTTCCTCGCTGAACTCCATCGGTTTCGTACTTTCCCAGCCAATAGTAAACGGTGCGTTTTACCGCATCTTTCAAGCGTCTCTACTGTACTTTTAAATCATGTGACGGTATCGCGAGACCGCCATTGGCTAACGCAGCTTGGAGTATGTGGTGAAGCCTACATACTGCTTCGGCATCGTTGCGCCTCGAACCAGGACTACCGCCATTTCTTTGTTTATACAATCATTTTCGCTATGGACAATCCGAAGAAGTGCGATTTCCGTGCTCGGAAGTACTGGACGAAGAATAAGTATGAGGGAAGTCGACGCAAAGTCAAGCGGAGAACGACAGCGGAAGATCGTGTTCCGCAGCCGACAGGGCCAGCTAGGCCTAACGACGGCATCGGCGACTCGGAGGAGATCGATGCTGCATTGACATTTGTGAGCGCTTCCGAAAAGAAACTTGGATTCTTCGAGAACGAACAGAGGACGTGCGGCGATGGGTCTGCGAGAGCAGTGATATGCGACATCGACGCGCTGACGATGCTTGTTTGCAGTGCGACGTGCCCGACATGTCAGCAGGGCAAGCTCTTCGTCCGGGAGTCTGCTGAATAATGGAAGACTTGCAACGTTCCTCGAACTGCTGTGCAAAAATAGTGAGTGTCCTGCGTCGATTTGGATACTTCCTGGACAGCCTGCCTGTGTTTTCGCCAAGTTTCATGCAATTACAGCTGCTTTTTGATGAGAATATAACTTTTGAACTTTCAGATGCATTTTTTTCTTATTGTGATTTTCGGCAGTCTTCACAGTTTGTGCACTCCTTTTCTGATACTTACAATACTCGCATCATAACGAAATTTCGCACACATATTTACAGTTGAGCTGTTAAGGGCTAGGTTCCCCAGAATCGTGTCCGGTATGTCGACACAAACCTACCTGGACAGCTACCGCCATCTTTAAGCGACGGCGGCAAGCACACAACCAGTCTGGTTTCCACCGTCGCTCGTAGATGGCGGCAACCTTTCCAACTATTGTAGAACAATGGATAGTTGGGCACCAACTGGTGGGAATTCATCGTAGGAAACAGCGCGAAAAACAGATGACGACAAAGAAGAAGCACACGTAACGAGCGCAGCACTCGTCACGTGTTTCTTCGTCCTCGTCTGTTTTGCGCGCTGTTTCCTACGCTCTTGTCAGTTTCGGTTTGGACTTAGGATGGGTCGGCCACGCGCCCTTTCGGGGAAAGAAGACTGGGGAGCGGCAACGTACGCAGCAGCACGAATGGGGCCGCAACCGCCCCAAAGCCACTGTCCCCTGTACTTCCACTGCGTCGAGCGCTTCAGATTCCCTTGCCAAAGAAGAGCACATCGCTCGCCTGGAAAGCCTCCGCCGAGAACAGGACCAGCGATGTAAACGGCGCCAGCAAGCCAACGCCACGGACGACGATCGTGCCACGGAGGCCAAGCGCAAGCGCGAGGCCCGGTGACGACTGCACTCCACGCCGGCTGAACAGTTCCCGGGCGCGACGGCGAGGACCCGGAGGGAGTTTGTGGATTACCCGTTTGGCATCACGTGCGCCGTGTGCGCTTCATGGGACTCTGGTTCGCCGGAGACGTATCCACGATCGGCGGCGTGTCGGACAAGAAGAAACGGGAAACGGGCACGTGCGCGTTGTGGTAGTGTATCGAGTACAGCTCCGCTGATCCTCCTTCTTCACGAGAGTGGAAAGGCTGAACGTTTTCTTGAAGGTGTATAGATTGCTGATATCTATTTGGACCTGTAATTTTCTGATATATGTTTATGCAAATTGATATGAACTTCTAGATGGCTTCTGAAATTACAACATTACAGCATCTTTATTTTTTTTTATAGATAGAAACATTTTGCAGAACTTTTGAATAGTTATCAGCATCCTACAACTGACAAGGAACAAAATAAGCTGTTGCAATATATTTCTGGTGAAAAGTTAGTACAGTGTAGACCGCATATAACGTATGTCGCGGGAGTCGCGAAAATCCGCACTATAAGCGGTACCGCACTATAACCAAAACATCAATTTTTCAGGCCAAAATGCATGCCATCAGACAACTTACCTTTGGAAAAGAATTTATTTTATGTTAGATGAAGAATAAAGCTTAGTTTGAGGAAAGTCTTTATTTCACCAGACTAGTACAGTTCTGTCTCAAGTGCGTCACACATTTTGAAAGAAATGAGTGACTTTTGCCTGGTGCAGCCTTTTAACGGCGTCGC